CCTGGCACAGCTCCAGCCATTCCCTGGGTGCTGTCCCTGGTCCCCCCAGAGCAGAGCTCAGTCCCTACCCCTCCTCAGGAAGTTGTAGCCTGTGTCCATAAACACCTAATTAAGCAGGACAAGTAATTTGGGAAGCTGTGAATCCTGTCACAGGGCAGCTGTTTCTCCTCAGGGTTTTCGGGATGGAGGGTGACAAGCCGAGGACACGCCGGGTCACTCCTATCTCCCCGGGGAAGCCACAGCGGCTCCACACCGAATCCGTGGGGTCCAGTGGCAGATCCCACAGTGGCTGATCCTCATGTCAAGAGCAGGGAGTGAAAACCTGGAGTTTTCCACCTTCCAGGAATCCCCAGGAGCAGAGTGTCCCAGCACATCCCTCTGCACTGACAGCACCCTCCAAGCTTGGCTGCCACCCTCCTGGTGTCACAAATCACCTGCCAGGACGTGGAGTGGGAGGCCCTGCTGGCTCTGGGAAAACACTCAGCAGAGGGAAGGTGCTTGGGACAGGCTGTTCCTGCCATCAGGAACTCCGGGAGATTGTGGATCCTCTCTGGTGCCGGAGGAGGGCAGGAAGATTTGGCAGCTTCAACTTAAAATCCCACCTCAAAGCTACAGATTACAACTGAATATGTAGAGTTGGCTGGGGATTTTTCCTTTTCTTTCGTTTTTCCATGCAAAATACTGTTAGAGTTTCATTTTCAAAAACAGAAAGAAGGAAAAAAAAGAAGGAAAGAAGGAAGAAGACAAAGCTTCGAAAGCTTTCAAAATAGAAAAGTTCACATTACTGTTATTTTGTTATTATATGAAAACATCATTATTCACTATTATTGAAACGATTATTATTTATTTTTATTAAAAAATTGTACAGTAAGCCACCTTTTTTTTTAATTAACCAGTAGAAAAATATCCCAATAAATGCCAAGAAATAGCCCAGATTGAGGACGGAGGGGGAAGGGTGACAGCAAGCAGAGGGTGACAAGTGGAGAAGTGATTGCCCAGGGGAGAAGTTGTTTCAGAGTTTCATGGAGCTGCAGGTCAGAGGAGGTGGCTCAGTGCTCAAGTGCTTCTCCTCGGGTGAAATCAGCTGCCACATTTCATCAAATACCCTGCCCTAAACCCAAAGAATCCCAGTTATCAGGGCTGGGATTTGTGGGCCTTATTTATCCACACACAAACCGTGGTGGATGAGCAGAATGAGCCCCTGGAGGTGACTGAAATCCTGGTTCAAACACTTCAGTTTGGGGACGAATCGTGGAATCCCGGAATGGTTTGGTTTAGAAGGGATCTTAAAAATCATCCAGTTCCCACCTCCCTGCCATGGGCATGGAAACCTTCCCGGGCTCAGAAAACTTAAGGATGGGAAAAACAAGTGACTCAAGGTGGGAATAAGACCTGTTTGTAAGAGGGATGTGGGTCAGCAAGAATTGTCCAGGAGTGCTTTGTAAAGGCACCATCACCACTTCTCAGAGGAAAGAAATGCCTTTTTCCCAATCAGGATTCTTTCCTTCCCAGTTTTTTACCTGTGGAAAAGTTCTCCTGATCCCAAATCAGGCTGCAAAAGAACAGGACATCCAAGGCTGGTGATACAAATGCAAGTTGCTGTTAAAAATTAATTTGACA